AAAAAAAAAAAAAAAAAAAGATTATCTTTAGGAAGGACATTATAGTTTTATATTTTGGCAAGCCCCTCTGCTTTGAGGTTTGAAGAAGATGATGGATTGACAAAGGGAAAATTAGGATCCTGAAGACCAGTAAAGAGATTATTGCACTAATCAAGGCAGGAGATGAGAAGGTTAGAAGTAGGGCAACAGCAGTGGTGATGAAGAGAGGAAGGGATGTGTTAAGAAGGATATGGTGGTGGATGCTAAAGAGGGCACTTGTTATGAGCACTGGGTGTTGTATGTAAATGATGAACAACGAATTCTGCTCCAGAAACCAATATTGCACTTTATGTTAACTACCTAAATTACCTAAAATTTAAATTAAAAAAAAAATACACAGGTCTTGATTACTAATTGGAAATAGAATGTAAAGGCCAAGCCTGTGGGACAGTCACCAGGCACTGATATAGTGATCTAGTGGACAGTCTCTGTTTTCACTCCCATGGTGGGAATACAAGAGAAGGAGGCTTATTTAAGAAGTGAATGACTTCGGGGCACCTGGGTGGCTCAGTCGGCTAAGCGACTGCCTTCGGCTCGGGTCATGATCCTGGAGTCCCTGGATCGAGTCCCACATCGGGCTCCCTGCTCGGCAGGGAGTCTGCTTCTCCCTCTGACTCTCCTCCCTCTCATGCTCTCTGTCTCTCATTCTCTCTCTCTCAAATAAATAAATAAAATCTTTAAAAAAAAAAAAGTTAATGACTTCAGTGCTTATCAGGTGTATCAAAAAAGAGAGCTCTTGCTAGAATTACATTTGAGTCAACTGGTACTTAATCTTAGAGTCATTATAACATTTAATAACAACATTGAGTGTTGATTCTCCTATGTGCTTCTTCATTTTAGCAAACTAAGTATGACTTAATAGCCAACATACCTAATCTCTAAAGGCATAATAAAGAAGCATTTGAATTGATGAGGTAGAGGACTCATTTGTAGATGTAATAATTTCTTAAGTGAGCATGTCTTGGACTAGTTAGAAATAATGACAGTGCTTAACAGCACTATCAAGATGTAGAGCCTAGGGGCCCCTGGGTGGCTCAGCTGGTTAAGCGTCTGCCTTCGGCTCAGGTCATGGTCCCAGGGTCCTGGGATCAAATCCTGTATCAGGCTCCTTGTTCAGCGGGAAGCCTGCTTCTCCCTCTCCCTCTGCTTGCTGCTTCCCCTGCTTGTACACACTCTCTCTATGTCAAAAATAAATAAAATCTTAAAAAAAAAAAAAAAAGATGTAGAGCCTATGGGTCTCTCTGTTTTTTATTAGTAGGCCATATAAATTAAGAATTAGGCTATAGTCTAGTTATATAGCAATGTGAAGTTGTCTGGCTTTTGATGTATATTTTAAGCACATTAAATATTTTCACAGTGTTAATTCATTTTTCAGTCCTTAAGTGGAGAGCCAATAAATTCAGATACGGATATATTTTTTAATTTGCTTACCACAATGATTTAGGTGGTTTGAGTGAGAATATTTCATCCTTAATGTTCAACATCCTTATTTCGGTACCATTTGGCAAAAGGAACTGAACTGCATGATCTATATAGTACCTTCTAGCTCTGTGATTGAATCTCCAGGAATAAATAAAGCTCCTTTCAGTGTGCTAATGAAAACATCATTAAGATAACATTAGTCTTCTAAGTAAGACATTTATCTTTAAATATGATTATCATTCCCACTTTAATAGGAAATCTTTTAGCATATAGATAAGCCAGAAAAAATTATTTAACCACAAAAAATACTAAACCATATTAACTAGAAATAGAAAAAAAAAAAGTCGTATTTTCCTCTGTATTTAGAATTGCTTCCTGCCCCACTTCTATATGTCTGTAGTGTTCCAGCCTCTGACAAATTTCAGAATCTGTTAAAACAGTATTCATGCCACTGTGGTAAGCATCACATACTTTGCCCAAGTTTTAAAACGCTGTTGAGCTTTCAGGGTATTTTTGCCCTAAAGAAGATTATGTGGGGAAGGTGGCATATTTAGCTGAGTATTTCATGAGATGTTACTTTAAAACTGCTAGTTACTAGATTTTGTATGTAAGCACATGCAGCTATTTGGATTCATAAAAGTGAATGGGGTTACTGAGAGACTTTTCCCCATCTTCCACCTCTGCCACTCTAATCCAAGTCAGCGTCATTATCATTGTCATCCTTTACCTGGTCTGTTGCAGTCAAGCACTGAACACGAGCCACCTTCTTGCTTCCGCCCTTGGTCACCAACTCCATCTTCCACACAGCAGCCAGAGATATGATATCATGGCACTCCTCTACTTAATAATAATAAAAATAATGATGCTTCCCTGTGTACCCAGTAAAACCCATACTTCTCACCATGTACTACTGTGTAGACATAATCTTGGACTATTCTTTCCCCTCTCTCACTCTACTCCTGCCACACTGGCTTTCTCGTCCTTTAGAAGTACACCAGCTTGTTCCTTGCCTAGAACTTTCATACTAGCTGTTACCTCTACCTGGCAATCTTTCCTCCAATCTATGAGAGCTTGTTTCATAGATTTCATGAGAGTACTAACACTGTTCATGAGGACTGTGCTCCCATGACTTAATTTACCCCCTCAAGGGTCCCACCATCACATTGGGTGTTAGGATTTCAATGAATTTGGCAGGGAAGTAGGTGGGTGTGACACAATCTATAGATAGCACTGACCTTTCTTCTAATGAAATTACATCCTGTGCATAGAAAGCATCCACCTCTGGTGTAGGGAGGTGCACCTTACCTATTACCTACCTATTCGACAGTCCTATCCCAAAAGCACAAATTCTAAGACTTGCACAACTGCTTGAGGTGGGATGTCCCATAGTGTATTTCATTAAAGACAAATGGACACCTGAAAAATGCATATGATGTTTTTAAAGACACATGTGAAAAACTTGGTGACTAACAAGAAAATCCACAAATAACTGAAAAGTTCATGAATCAGAATAGATATTCCCAAGGCCACAGTCATCCTGCTGGTGAATTAAATAAGTGTATTTCTTAGAATGAGTCAAGCTTAGCTCTCAGAATTGAATGGGTTTAGCTCTTCTGTGATACACCATCTAGCACAGGGATTGTAACTCTCTTTATTGCTCTATTTACATGTGTCAAGACCTTCCAGGTATCCAGCAGCTCTGTTGAATCTCTAGCAAGTGGTCATATGCCTCATGTGTTAAACCTCTCAGAAAGTAAAAACATCCCACCTGCCAGGAAGATTTTATAGAGAAAGAATCTGTTTGCATTTTGACAGCCATATCTAGGAGGTTAATTATACTTCTTGATTAGCTTTCATGATATGTTCAACAGGAGGAGTAAGATCCATTATCATCTGTATTTTACCAGTTCTTCTGTGTCAGACTCTTTCAGGAAACGTTTTTTTCACCCCTCTTTCCCAAATGCCTGATATGATCCCTCTGACAAACACTGTTTCTGCTTGACTATTTCAGCACTTTTATGTAATGGAAAATTTCACAAACATTTGCAAGAAATCTTTGTGCCCTTGGTTGTCCGCTATGTCGATCTCATGGAGTCCTCCATCGCCCAGTCAATTCACAGAGGTTTTGAGCAAGAGACATGGCAGCCTGTCAAGTAGGTATCTTGCCCAGTGTCCATAGAACATCTGTCTCTTTAGTCCTGACCTTATGACTTTACACATGGCCGTCTGTGGTTATTGCTTATGCTGGTCCCTTCCCACGTTGTTTGTTTCTCTGCAGGAATATCGCCAACAGTCTTCCCAATGTAGCTCTTCCAAAAGTTCCAAGTCTGCCTCTTAATCTTCCACAGATTCCTAGCTTTTCTACTCCTTCATGGATGGCTTCTTTATATGAGTCCACGTGTGTATCCCTCACTTATTTCCTGGTGGTGTGTTAGCTAGTGCATGGCCTGGGCTGTGTTCTGTGCACATTTGTTCAGATTGCATGGCATTTATCATCATTGGTTGAGGAATCCTATGTTTTGGTTTTGTGTGAGTTTTTTAAGCTATCAAGCTAAGCTGAGCAAATCGATGATAAATGATACAGATTAAAAAAAAAAAAACACCACTCACTGGCTTGATCTACTTCATATGTGATCTGTAGGTGAGAGGTCATTTTGTGACCCAGGTTGTAGACTCCAGCCTAAATGATACACCACACTTCAGGCAATCACTGTGGTAACAGTATGTCTAGGAGCCGTAGTTGGCTCCAACTTCATTACTGCCCACATAGTTTCTTTTGTACATGAAGAAAACCATCATAAGAATCGTTTGAAGAATATAATGTTTTTCTATTTTATCTTAGTTGCACTTTTAAAGAAATAACATTTCAGGTTGCAGAGAAGCGATCGTCCTTTATTTCCTAACACCAGCAAGTCCTTCCATCTATCAGTTGATGCACTTTGTTCTTTTTAAATAATCTTTATATCATAAAAACCATATCTGTTAGCTCTACATTGTGATCAGCCCACCTATTGCAGATTCAGTAACTGAGAGTCACTAAAACAAAAAGGACAAAGGCTTTGAAATTCGAGTTTAGATCCTAGTTTAGTAATCATTAAATCTTTCTTAGCCTCAGTTTCCCCAATGCTGAAATGTTATGACACCTAATTTAAAGACATTTTTGTGAGGATAAAAAAGAAAAAAATGATGAAAAGTGCCTGGCACATTCTAGGCTCTCAATAAATAATAACTATTCCTATGCTACATTATGATTTTTATCGTTATTATTACTGTCATCAATCATCATTATTCGTTAACTGTATAGTTTTCAAAAGTATGAGACTCAGAGCAAGCAAATGAACTCAATAATAGTCCATGCTTTGCCCAAGATCTCATATGACATCAGCTAGAAAGAATAATAATTACAAGAAGAAAAATAGCTACCATTCATTGAACACTTACTATGTTCCAGGTAAAGTGCCAAATCTTTTTCTCAGTTAAGCCTCTGGACAACCCTGGGACGTAAATGTCATTGTCCCTATTTTAGGGACTTAGGAAACTAAGCCATAAAGAAGTTAAGAAACAGAAGTTGCCTGAGGTCCCACAGTAAGTAAGTGACAGAGGCAAGCTTTGAACCCAGGTTTGCCTGACCACAAAGCTCTCACTCCTCTTATTCATGTGTTCAGCTTCCAGAGAATATAAGGATGCTGGGCTAAGAACTTGCCCAGCATCCTTTCTGCCTGTCCTCCCACCACTGTTACATCTGCTCCCCAAGGCTGCATACCCTCAAGAAAAGAAAGAAGACCAAGAAGGAGAAGAATAACTTGCAAAATAGCTTAACAATATCTCTCCAAGTTAAACATCATCACTGTGCCCATGATAGTTATTGGGATGTGAGGTTACATGTGAATCTTTTTCTTTCAGGCAAATGCTTTGGGCAGTTATAGTATATAGAGTGGTGTCTGTGTCTGCTTGGCAATTATCTAGGAAGTATAATGTATCTTTCTAAGTTTATGTGTTTTTGTGCTTCTTAATACTGTTTTATAATTTAACTCCTCTTTTTCCTCATTCCTCACCTGTTTAACACCCTTGATTTTAACCGAAAACATTATTGTGGGCATTACCTTGTGAAATTTAGATTTTGTGTGTGTGTGTCATTATTTTTTTTAGCTTTGAGGCATGTGTGAAACCTGAATCTCATTTATTGGGAGCCCCTTTTTAAAATGACCTGCATCTCAGGACAGGAATCATGACAAATTGTGGCTTTGTAAATAAAGTGCTCATACTTTCATCATTCTGAGTAAATAAAAAACATGTTTTACAAGTTAATCACTGTTTCTTTACCTGCTAGGATTATCAACATTAGGCTCTTCATCAGGGTGCTCAAAATTCCTTATAATGTTATGATGTAATCACTAGCTTTTTGGGTTCTGGGTGTTTTTTTTTATTAAAGATTTTATTTTTATTATTTTTAAGTAATCTCTACCCCCAATGCGGGGCTTGAACCCATAACCCCAAGATCAAGGGTCGCATGCTCCACCGACTGAACCAGCCAGGCACCCTTAGTTTTTTGAACTTTCGTTATGAAGCATTAAATAGCAAAAAAAAAAAAAAAAAAAAAAGTCTGTTTCATATATATAAGGAATTAGAAAATAGAATATAACCAATGCTTTAAAAATATATCCCTACCTACTAATGTATCAGTGTCACCTTAGGGGCTTCTCCATGTCTTCCTTCTCAGGTTTTTTTTGTTTTTTTTAGCTCTAAAAGTAGGTGCCAATAAGATAAGTTTCCTACTGGCATTTTTAGGAAGTTATCTCAGAGTCCATTATTCATGTTTGAGTTCTTTAATCTGTTAATCATACTTTCAGAATAGGTCACTGATTAAAAATAATTTTAAAATGAAAAAGTTTTGAGTAAATTGCAGGTTATAAATTCCAGCTCAAGAGAAAACCTCTTTACATTTTTTTCTATTTAATTAAAGCAAACACTTGTTACCTTAATTATGTTCCCAATTAAGCACATTTATCATTCCATAGCATCAAAGAACAAAAGAAACATATATCCATACTCTCTATGAAGATTTAATTGTATTATGTTATGAGAGAGTCCATTTTCAATAGAATTCCCTCGTCACTATTTCAGATTTTGTTTTGATGATGGTTTTTGTTTTGTTATGCTATTAAGAATACATACATGTTTCAAATAGCTACCTTATATTTCTCCAAAGTAAAAAATTATTAGATTTGCTTCTTTAACCAATTAGATTCAATTGCTCTTAAAATATAGGTCCTCTAATTTACCACACTGTACACTCTGGATATATAAGAAGATTTTGCCTGGTCATTTTTTTCCTCTTATTTTTATTATATATATGGCAAAAGGGAGAAATAAATATAGTGTTTTTTCTAACATTTTTCACAGCAATGTCAACATGGTGTTGTCTGGTTCCTTTATTTAATGGTACTTTGGGGGCACTGATTTTTAAGGTTACGAGATACTGAGTAGAGAGCTATGGGTGGCATTCAGTGCTTTGCTGCGAATGGTCCATTGAGAACTTAACTGTGAGCACATCTTAGCTAGGCAAGGAGACCCTGAGGAATTACTGGCAGGATGGGAGAAGGAACACAAAGGAGGTTGGTGATGCAGGAAAGATGCTGAGGTGGAGGTGGGGGAGGGAAATAAGCATTTAATTAGCCAGAGGAGGAGGCATTTTTTTAAGCCAAATAATTGATATGTTTAGCTAAACAAAGGGGGTATTTAAAAGAATTTTATTTTTATAAAAGTTTCCCACTGTGCTCTTGTGATAAATTATTTCATTTCTCTATTTTTCTTTTGCACACTAACAATACAATTTTTAGGTTAGTGTATGTTAAGCACTTACAGGAAAGCTGAGGAGAACTGAATCTGCACAGCACCTTTTTTCTCCTTTTGTTCTCTTTTACTATTAAGTTTCAGCGTGTTTGAACATAGGATTATTTTACTCTCAAAACCTCTGTTTCCCTATTAGGCTATATACTTGCATAATGGAAAGTAGTAGTATTATCCTTTGCCCAAATATTATATGTCCCTTGCTACAAATTACCTTCATACATGGTCTGAAACTCTAGTCCCCTGGATTAATTTTGCCGCAGCAGTGAATGCATAGCAAATCCAGGCCCCAAGTTAGAAAGATGGAATGACCTGAAATACATGATTTTGTTCCCACTTCAGGGCACCCCGAATGTCATTTCTCTGTTAGACTGTACGTCATACTGTTAGGTTTCATTATGAGCTAGAAAAGTCATGAAGCATTTCAAAATAGGCATAAGATTTGCTTCCCTGCTCAGCCTGTTTTCTCACTTGCACTACCTGTTTCCCCTTCCCCTGTCCTTGAGAAACTGAAGGATCTGTACGCTACGTACCTGTCTGTAGACAGAAACCACTGTGATGACAAAGGGACACATGTATGCATGAGTAGAGGAGTGAAGCTCCTAGTAGCTGTCGTATGGACTTTCTTGCATAGAACATACTCTTCTGAATTTGCAGGAGGAAATATTTATGTATTTTATCTGTATCCTATAGATTGGTAAAAAAGTGTTCAAAATGTTTGTTCTCCATGTACTTCCATAAAGTACCCTTATGCATTCTACCCCTTTCTATGAAAACTTACTATATTTATTTCTATTTGTTTTGTTTTGGTTTTTTTGCCTCACCATATTCATCAAGAAGTGAAAAGGAAGAGATTTAAAAGGTTGAATAAAGAAAATACCAATTATTAGAGATTTTAAGGCAAAAAACAATGTGTTGGCTATCCTCACAGCTAACAGTGGAAGTTCATGATGCTCTTCATGTTTCCTTTTTCTTCTAGCAATGGCTCAGCAACATCAGAAGACCTTTTTTGGAAACTCGATGCACTGCAAATGTTTGTCTTTGATCTGCACTGGCCAGAACAAGAATTTGCCCACCACTTAGAGCAAAGACTTAAACTAATGGCCAGTGATATGATAGAGGCCTGTGTCAAAAGGTAGACCTGTGTTTTCAAGTTGCTGCTTTGTACGCCAGCGCCCAGAGTGGCACTTTTCACCAAGTACCTGTTACCTAGTTGTCACAAGGAAAGTTTCAATATGTACCACCACAACAAAACTTAATGAGTGTTGGGTTCTCAGACCTAAATTCTGGGGCCTCCTAGAACTCTGTAACTGATAAAATTGGCCTAAAACTTTTTTTTTTTTTTAAACGCCTCCTCACATTACCCTTCTCAGTAGCAACCATACTATATTAATCCTTTCTGTGGTGCTTTATTGTTGTCTCTTTGGGAATACTGTGCTTTCAATTCCCAAGGCAGTACTTCCTGAGACATATGGAAAAGGGCAGTTAAGTACTTTATGCATTACGCACGGTGTCTGCTGTGAAACGGCATGGCAAACCCAAATTATGATCAGGGCCATCAGTGTTTCTGTTTTCTGGTATTCTCTTTCCACGTCAAAGGAGCTTTCCGTGTCAACTATCCAGTTATATTCTTCAGAACTTAATCAGAAATAAGTTATGAGGCTAAGTGACAGAGAAGAATTATACATTCTCCATTGTACATTAATTATGATGTTTTAGGATTTTCCAGACTTGTACTTTTTTTTTTATTTGGTAAACCCTCACGCAGAAGATTTGTTCTGCTTTAATGCAGAGAAGCAAGTGGTTTTTACACTTGGAAATTAATTCAGGCAGTTCAGTAAAACTAAGCGGTTTTTCCATAAAAAGTTTTACACTAGATGTAACAAATAGCTTCCTTTGAGTAGAGATATTGTCTGCATGACTGCAAAAGCTGTTTAATATAAAATATCTCCCTGATCTTTCATATGAGACACCTGAAAAAGAAGAGCATCCCACCCCTGGCTCCCAAGCAATGCCACACTCCTTATTTGCATGTTTTAAATTAGCCATCTTGTAGTGTTGATTTCACTTTTACTAAACAGGTGAGACATATTTCAGAATTTCTTACCCTGGATTCATGTTTTAATGAATAGAACAAGAACTGCATTTGAAGTCAAGCTGCAGAAGGCAAGCAAAACCACTGACTTGCGCATTCCTGCCTCCGTGTGTACAATGTTTAATGTATTAGTCGATGCCAAAAAGCAAAGCACCAAACTTTGTGCCCTGGATGGAGGACAAGAGGTAAGTGAACTGAGTGTCACATATGGATAGGCAGCACGGGGTGCCCTGGCAGAGGGTGTTGGATGCTGTTTCCAGAAGTCTCTCACTTGATTAGATTAAAAGACCAAGTTTTCCAATAGAAGCGTTTGGTCTTTTCTTTACTGTAATAACGGAAGGCCCTTTATCCTTTGCTCCCATTAGTTTCTTCTTTTTTAAATGAAGACTGTGCAAAATTTTACACGTGGCCATTGAAGCTTTTAACAACTTATGTGTTGTGTATTTACATAACCCTTGCTTTTCACAAGCAAATAAGAAAGCTAGAGAGCTACCTGCTTTGTTTATACAAATCTAGAGTATCCAGAGTTTGCATTCAAAAAACAAGGCACAGAAAATAGCATATGAAATATTTTTATTTACACAAAAGTTTCCATGTTTTAAAGATCAAGTAGAAACATAGTAAAAAAATTAGACTTTTTTTTTAATAAATGTCCCATTTTTTTACTTTGATTCATGTTTTGTTTGGTTCTATATTCAGAAACACAGCTTATTTTACCCCATGATTTATTTTTGTTGAGAGTGGCAATTGGGTGAAAAAGGATTTATTTTTCTTAGATTATCTGTTTAAGTTGACATTTTGTTGCTGCTTTTCTCATTGTAATTACTTGTTCATTTCTTTACTCTTCCCATATGTTCTCCTTCATCATCTTTTTTTTTTTTCTCCATGGCATGATCCAGTTTGGTAGTCAATGGGTAAGTCTTCCTTTTTTTTTTTTTTTTTTTTGTAAAAGCACACTTTCATTTGAGTTACTATTTGTGTAAACGTACACTTTTTATTTTCATCTTTTCAAATTAATATAATTCCATTTTCAGGTTTATGTTTTCCATGTATGCATATAACACTAACAGCTTATTATAACATAACAATACCCAGAGACACATTAAAACACATAAATACTTACGCCCTAAATAATGTCAAGGGGAATGTTTCTTCCCTGTTAGGCTGCAGAATCTATGAACTGCTCTTAGATTTTTTAAGGATAAAATTATTTAAAACAAAATGAATTCACCCCCCTTTAAACAAAATTCTAAATAAATTCAGAAGCAGAATGATTATTAATATTTTCAAGGTTCATATATCTATAGTATATACTTTTACCAATTCTAGAAAAATTTGGAGCTTTGGATGACATATAGTATATATCAGGGTACCTCTAAATCAATTTGAGGACCAAGAGGCCATTCCTAAGGTCACTTCATGCAGAAGTACCCAGTTGTGGATTTCAATAAGGTACATGCCCACCAGTAATACAGTCTTTCTTCCCACTCATGGCCTGGGAAGTTACCATAACAGAGGCAGGGAAGAGGCAGGCCTGTGTGTCAGGAGCCTTTCCTCTCCGCCATACAAGGTTGTCTTGAATTACCACCCAGAACCTCAGAGGAACATGATATGAAAATTTTTATGCATACAAAAGTGACTAGATACTATATATATCTATCTGTTTTATATATGTGTTTTGATGTCAAAATGTTTTTGTGCTCTATGGTTATGTTGACTCTTACATAAAGTCTTACAGTTGCCACCTAGGAGTCAAACTCAGGGTGACTCTACTGGGCTGACAATTCTCATCCAAGTAGAAGGGCTTAGGTAGCTCTGAAAGAGGATGAGAGGGCCCACTATTTGTGAATTTCATACTTAGTTAGCCCAGATATAGACATTAGGTAATTGGCCATAATTTATGCACATGCACACGTATTTCATTCTTTGAGCAATTCAAGGGGAAAAGATGTATTTCTAATACCATAGCATACAACCTTACAGATATATTAAGTAATTGATAGGTGTTATAGAATGTTCAGCAATTATCATTCCCTGAGCACCTACAACATGATTTATTACCTCTAATCATCTGAATGAGGAAGCAGCTGGCTTGGATATCAATAGCTCATCTCTCTACCTTTTCATGTTTTTCAATACCCAGATGTAAGCCTTTGATGGTCTACTCAGAAATATTGTCTTACATCTCTTTATAAGTCCATCCATTTCTCATCAGGTTTATAGAATCATCTTGCCTCTTCCCATTGATACTGGATTTATCCATCTGCTTTTATTTTAATATACATGGCAGTACCTGACACATAATACACACTTGGTAAATAGTTGTTGAATGAACAGACTGATTTGTTGTCACCACTTTAAAAATCCTCGCCTGTAAGAAACAACTATCTCTAGTACCTCAAAAGAAAAACAAGCCCACACACAAATGACAAAACATTGTTGCATTGTCACATGGTTCTTTATATTAACAGGTAGATGGCTTTGAAAAGTAATCTGCTACTGTTCATTGTATTTGCACCTGTACCTTCTCCCCAGAGACAATTAGTTCCCCACAACTTTCACACAATTAATATAATTCAAAATGTGCAGGTGTAAAACCAATTAGCAACTATGAAAAGTGGTAAACAAGACTTTCAGTGCAAAAGAAGGATTTTATACTTTGCTTTTAATCACCAGTAAAAATACCCACATAATTGCACAGGCTTTCCCTCTCTGTGCTTGGGATAAGTTTTGGAATTGTTGCAAATTAGCAAATATGTTACATGCAGAGGTGAGCCAGTGGACCTCATTCTGTAGTAAGCAACAAATTAAAAACTAGATTATTACACAATTTGGAACCTTGTGAAATATATGCTTACATAGATAAACCTAGTAGGGATAGTGTTCTGAATTTTAGGAAATTACCTCTCCAGAGTCTCCAGTAAATTTATTATATGTCATTACTGAGATGAAACCTCCCCAACTCCTTTTCCACAAGGCAGCCCCTTCTGTGCTCCTGAGTTATGATTCCGTTTTCTCGCGTGGCACATGATGATGCAAACGTGCTCAACCGCAGCCCAGAATGGTGTATAATGGAGCCATTAGTGAGCGAATGATCTGCTCATGCGACAGCTGTGTGTAATGAGTCAGCAGTCTCAGGCCAGTTCCTCAGGGACAGATGTTGAGACCACAAAACCACCAGTGTTTAGAAATCGTTGTTCTCCACCAACTGCATGGGTCTTACTTAGGTAATGCTCTGCCCTCGGTGCCCCCAGCATCTGATGGCCCATCCACTGAGGATGAAAGCACATTAATGGGGCTCCTTGTGTAGGATTTGTCCTCAACTATAGTAAAATGCTTCCATTTCCAGAACTGACAATCCAATGCCTTTAAAGTTCTTCCCAAGAGAGGGACCAAAATCTTTTAAGAATGCTGGATTATATTGGCATTTGATTAGTTTTCATTTCTGGAGTGTTTACATTAACAACAGTCAGGTGAAATGAGGATATGTACCTGAGTGTAGGGGGACCAGGGTTTCAGACCCGTGTCTGATCCCTGAATTCCCTGGGCTCCATGAGGTACAAATTCCTTAAAGGTTAATCTTGATCGAAAGTCAGAGTCATCTGACTTTACTTTTTACTTCATCAGGTTTATAGAATCATCTTGCTTCTTTTATTGGCCATATTTTATATGAGAAGCACATATGCTTTACTTTTGAGGGTGAATGTAGGGAGAATTAAGTCGAAGAAATGGGCTGTGATTTGCCATAGCCCTGGTATGTAGGATTATCAATCCGATTTGAAATATTCTGATAGAAATTTTATAGGTTTTTATTGTTGCAGACAAAAACTTTGCAGATTTTTATCAAAAATTCAGTCTGTTAATCTAAATAAAATATACCAATTTTAGGTTAGGTAATATAAATGTCTATGCAGATAAATTCTTCTCTGTGATCTCTTTTGGTGTGTCTGTGTTTGTCTTTGGAAGCTATCTGGATCCCCTGAGGAGTAACTTTCTAGCTAACCTTCTATCATCTCTATGTGGCGGATGTGAGCTGTTCTCTTTGCAGAATGTACATGTACAATATGAATTCTGGGGCCACCTGGCTGCTCCCACCCACAGTGTTTCCAGACCACCTCCACCGACTGTGCAGCTAGAACAGATTCTGGAAGTTCCCGGCAATTTTAACATTAGTGAAAGTCCCAGCTAGTCAGATAAGTTTACAGTAGCAAGATCTCATAAAAACCTAACAAGCCTTACCCTATTTGGGTTTGTCCTTGGGTAGTACATTTAGTATACTTTTCTTCCTTTTTAATTTTTTTTGTGTTTCTCTCTCTCTCCCTCTCCTCCTCCTTCCCTGCTCCCCTCCTCACCCCCTCCCTCCCTCCTTCTCCTCTCACTGCTTTTGGCTAGATCAGGTGTCAGTAGTCTAAAGGTGTATACTATAGGAGAATGTGATGGCCCCTGGGGTCCATGCCTTTCCCTGCCTTTCGATAAAAAGGGTATAAGGAACCTCTTTAGTGGCTCATCTCTTGATTTTAAGATGTGTCCAAATCCATCCAGTCTAAAAGTTTAAAATGTAGAAGCTCTACAATTTTATATCCAATAGTCTTTTGATGACATTTGATTACTCTTGAGTTAAAAAATTAACATACGGCTGGGGCACCTGGCTGGCTCAGTCAGTAAAGCATGCGACTCTTGATCTTGGGGCCCCACACTGAGTATAGAGATTACTTAAAAATAAAATCTTTTAAAAAATGAAATCTATGTCAAATACAGATAAGCACTGAACATATCAAGTGTATATTTAAGAACATGGAACCACTCAGAGGTCTAGGCACCTTGATCCCCGTATGTTCTGTAGCACTTTCCAGGGAAGAGGGAAGTGAGAAGCTTGAAGCCCATCTCCTGTGTGTATCCCTTTCCTGTTCTACCCCAAAGAGGAGCCTCAGTCTGGTATTTCACTTCCTCCTGCTGCACAGACACAATTTGGAGAGAGAAGGCTATGAAAAGAGGAGCAGGGAGAGGGAGCCGGGCAGAGCGCATTTGCATAAGCTTCTCACACCAGGTCGGCTGTAGAGCTTCAGCTGGAGCCCAGGACCTTTTGGTACCTGTGTCTGTGGGGGGCTTCCCAGCTATCTCCACTAGCAGCCAGATTCTCCACGCTCTTTCTCTTCTCCGTTGTTTTTCTTTATTGTCTCCCCTTTTCCTTCTCTTCAAGCTGTTCTAAAAGCAAAGGAGTTGGCCCTACTCTGATAGAAATCCACCCTCTGTGTTTCTGTTCCAGTTGTCTCTGGGGAGCACAAGTTTGGGAATCAGTAAGGCTTTCAGTAAAACAGACACATAATGTTTCCCTTCACTAGGTGGAATACATGCCGGGAAAGGTCCACGTTCATGTGTGTGTGGTTAATTTTAGACCACATGTCAGCACACACGCATACATGCAGAACAGAGAATTCACATGCCCCAGAATTAGGCTTCCTGTTTTTTATGTATGCAGGTAGATAGCCACTTGTAACTGTCAGAGCCTACGGGTGGCGGGGGGTGGGGGTGGGAATCATTCCTGTGTATTCCAAAGCAGACCTACGTTGATGTTTTGTTGTGTGTGGAAACTTTGAGACATGTTTTCAGAAGAAAAAATAGCTTTCAAAAACTTACATCCTAGGAAACCATTCATCCAGCAGCTGTTAAGTTGGTCTAATGTTTATACTGACCTGAGTACTTTTACTCTATGCATTATGTTAGCTGTTCCAAGAAGCCTTGAACTTCAAGATAGGGTTAGTCTTTACAAGTCACATTTTCTCTGAAGTGGCTACTGGGGACAATCGGCTGTCAGATAAATGCTTCTAAAGCAAGAATTACTGTTTAAATGAATGTGCATTCAAACACTGCAGAAGCCGAAGCTCCTGCTAATTTAAGAATGCAACTCTCTCGTATTCTCTGAAGAAAGCGAAAAAGGAGGCTTTCAGGTTTATTTTAAATACATCTTTTTTTGTATTTACTTAAAGGCGTCTTTTTCATGAGGAAGCAGTGATAAAACTATGGGGAGTGAGTGCTGTTTCATTATACCCTTTATGGCCTATTAATTTGTTACCATCTATTCACCTTTGTTGATGACATTTTAATTTTGCCCTTGCTTGAGCATATTGTAAGAATTGTATAAACTGCGGCTTCCCTGCGCTGACAAAACGGTCCTTTTACAGTGAACAATTGGGAGCTCATTTTATTTCTAGAGCACATTTAAAATAACTTATGAATGAGAGTTGTCAGACATGAAATGCTGTATTAATTAAATCTTTTTCTAGTCTTTTTGCTTCTCCAGCTAAACCAACCCTTTAGAAAAATACACGGCCACCTTAATTATAGAGGAGAAGACAAAAAGTATCCTTCACATTCCTCTGCCTGAATAAGAATAAGAACCCAATTCATCTATATAATAACCCCATTAGCTGCTTAACTCAACAGTGCACATGGGAAAATTTTCAAGCCACAATGTAAAAAGTGTTGATTGGGTGGATCGTTTTCAAGGTTTTGTTCTTCTGATGTTCAAAATGATCATTTTCAGTAAATCCGATATGTCATAACTAGGAGCTTTAAAGCATTTATGACTTATGACAAAAGTTTTGTGTCCACATCAACTAATACATCTTTGTCTTTTGATATCCAGCAACAATACCATTCAAAAGTAGATGATTTGATTGACAACGCTGTAAAAGAAATCATTTCACTGCTAGTTTCAAAGGTAATGTATTATTTATTCACCTTTTTAAGTCAGACTCAAAAATCATTTTGCTGGGAATTTTTAGAAAAATCTGTCTCATGTTTCTAAATACCCAATTGAAAAATAGTTTTATAAAGAGACACGAGAAAAGTTCAGATTTCAAGAAGAGTTCAGAACAAAATGTGAACACTCTTTGTCAACAACTTTTGATTTTTTATTTACAATTCATCTTGGCTTTTCTTGCAGCTGTTGGCTTTTAAAAATAACTCTGCCTTCCAGTAAGACCTTATTATTTCACATTTATGTTCCCTGACTATTTGTCTTATCTGTTGGGCTGATTCGAGTTTTCACCAGTCATTGAGTGTAGCCTGTTTGTGGGGATGACAGCACCGAGGCTCTAGAGCTAGTCACGGGCAGATGGAGAAGCTGGCAGCCTGAGGTTCTCCTCTCCTGGGGGCTTGCACGGTTTCCAATCTGATGCTCCAGATATCTCTGACAAGGGCTGTAGCCTGTAACTGTATAAGTAGAGATGAAGCATAAGTATTCCATTGAATGATTAGACAGTTAAAATCCCACCAAGGTGTAACAGACCGCCATGAGCTGACACTCAAGATCTGGGTCTGCCAGGGAAAGAGACGGAAAATGGAACTCAAGAGGGTGAGGAGTCAGAATGGATGTGGTCCAGCAGCACATTCACAGGAACAGATGGAGCCCTTGCTCTTGCAAGGCTTGATCAGAGAACCCCCAATCAAGCTTCATAAAAAAATTGGAAGAACATACAGAAAACAAAGGAAAAAACACCCCCAGTTTAATAAACGAAGGACATGTTATTTAGAAAAGAAAAAGCAGAGATGCCCGAGAAGCATTAAAAATGTTAAACCTCACTCATCATTTAAGGAATGAAGAAAAACTACTATTAATATACTACTTTTTCTAGCAAATTAGCATAGATGTTTTTAAACTAACATTTGGTTTCAGAAAAGGTGAGGTGGGACACTCACACTTTCTGTCTACAGGAGTGTAATTCATTACAGCCTTCCTAGAGATAATTTGGAACTATATCAAGTACATTAATACCCTTCTACCTAATAAGTATTTTTACATCTTTTTCCTACTCAGAGAGATGCACAAAATATATATAATATACATTGATATGGTCACATTACTTCTAATGAAAAATTGGAAACAACTTTAATCTCTAACATGAAGGGAATGGTAAAGTAAATTATGGGACATCTATATTAAGAAAACATGCATTCAAAGACTATTAATGATAAAGGAAAGGTTTGATAATATAGTATTAAGTGAAAAAGAAAGCTTAATATTTTAGAAATGGAAAGTATGATCTGAATTTGCATCACATAGAGTAAAGACAGGATAAACACCAAAATGTTGACAGAGCTTCTCTGGATGGTGGGATTATACTTGATTTTGGAGGCGGGTGGATTCTTCAGGGTTTTGGGGGTTTGTTTGTTTATTTGGTTTGGTATTTTCTGAATTCCTTGGTAGCAAGTCTTGAGATAGAAAATAGCCAGAAAGAAGATTTTAGCATACCACCACCCCTCCAGTTTGTTCTCATTCTCTTCACTTCTACCCCCACAAGAATACCTGCACCTTCACATACAACACACAGTCACCAACAAGTGGAAAGGGAAAAGGTGAACAGGAAAAGCACGCAGCCGGTGGGGGAGAGGTGAACCACTGGAAAACAAAGCTCCAGAGGCAGAGTAGGGAGATTTCCAACCTCTCAGGAGCCCAGCACAGCAGCTCCCAACACTGCACAGACAGCCCACTAAAGTGAAAGGAAGTTAACTTTGTGCCTTCATTGTCTGCGAGTCATCAAGGGAGATTTTACCCAGATGGCACCTCCCCATCCTCACAGTTCTCCTGTGCAAGTTGTCTTTTGTGAGAAGGGGGCATACTGGAAGTCATTAGATTGCATGATAGCATGCAGTTGGTAAAGGGTTAAATAGGCAGCAAGGAAAAGAGACTAGTTCAGGATTTCTGCTGGTGGGGGGAGGGTTGCAGAGGGGGCTGGCAGGGCTGCACATCATCTCTGCACTCTTTCCTGGCAAAGTAAAAAACTGATTTCTTTTTATATCAAATACATCTGTTTTAATGAAAAAATAGTATGTTTGAATCAAGTAAGCAAACGGTATTCTAGAGATCAATACTATTCAGTACAACTTTCTGTGGTATAAAAATATTTACCCAGCACCATCCAGTAGAGTAACTACTAGTCACATGTAGCTATAGACCACTTGAAATGTGGCTAGGACAACTAAGGAACTGAAATTTTGATTTTACTTAATTTTAATTAATTTTAACTTAAATAGCCTAACGTAACTAGCTATTATATATGGAGATCAGATCTAGATTAGTCTTTTTCTGTGGATCATTTCTCCTGCAGTTTAACAGTACTTTTTTTTTTTAAGATTTTATTTATTTATTTGACAGAGAGAGATAGTGAGAGCAGGAACACAAGCAGGGGGAGCGGGAGAGGGAGAAGCAGGCTTCCCACTGAGCGGGGAG